ATCGTCAAGTTTCAACCTTTTTCTACGATAGGTTGGCGCTCGAATCGCCAGCGGTTCTCCGCGATTATGGCGGCGTCCGCGCGTAACCGCGATAAAACGTTATTGCCCTCGCGGCTGTCCGGATAGGAACGGAAAAGTGAAATCGCGGTCACAGGTAGGGTCATGGAGTAACGCTCCACGAAATCGATTATCGGGTAAATTACCATAATATCGTTGCCGCTGAATCGCCGCTCATTAGGACAAAGGTAAATTCACGTTTGAGAAAAAGTTATTCTAACCGGAAGTGCCAGTGACCGTAGTTCCGAAAATTTATTAAAACATTATACCACGATTTTCATAGCATTCTCTAAATGAGAACTAACATTTACTTAGGGAATTTGATTTACGAAATATTTTTTTTTATTTTCCGAAATTTAATTTTTAAAAACTCGAATTTCGTAAGATTTTGTGGAATTTTTGAAACTTGAAAATACTTATCTTGTTTGTTTAAAAATGGACTTGTACTATTTTTTTTTATTATTTAATTCATACGTTGCAGATCGCATTGAAGCGAATTATATTTAATATTCTTGATTATTGAATTTTTCACAAAGTTCAAACAATGTGTTTTAATCATTCGATTTAATCCAGTTTATATAACTATAAGAATTGTTCCATTTCTCATCTAGAAATTCGATTTGTCTTGTTGGAAATCTCACGATACGAGGAAAGAAATTGTATCTCACTGTCTTTGATACTCTTAACGAAATTAACTCGTACATGGACCATTAATAAATGGGACGGCAGATAATTGTTTCCAATCTCCCCAACTGGAAAATAAATTAGGAACAATTACGAAGAGCCTTTGTATCTTTTAACAATGGTCAAACGTAATACGTGTATGTACATATCAACTACGATACATTGTATATTATTGTATGTACTATCTCTATTTCAATAAATTTTCTTTTTTTTCTTCGTTAATTTTCTAACGTAAATGCGGATATTATCAAGAAACATTGTGTAATATAGGTTATATCCTTATTAAGTTTCTATGTGGCAATGATAGTCTGAATTTTATTCTATATTGTAGACGTAATAAAATATGCGGAATTTATCGATACGATTATCACCTATCTCCATGCATTCATGACCTCAATTATAAATAAATTATTATTACATTATCGGGATAGAAATCGGGTTATCATCAATGCCGTTCTGCTTATAGTGGAAAAAATTCATCATTAAAAATATATTTTTTGAATAATTAATTGCCTTGTGTAAATATAAGAATTGAATAAATTTCATATATGGATCATTGAGAAAATTCAAACAATTTAAGATTATCAAGAATATAATCCTAAGAATATATATTGTCAAGAATATTTTATATAAGATAAACTGTTCTTATTTATTTAATTGTTTCTTGAGAATTTAAAACGAGATATCCTATAATAGAATATTTCAAAACAATAATTTTTCATATTTGCAAAAATGCATTTTCGTAAATTACTAAGATGCCAGATCAAAAAATCAAGTTCATCAAAAATTCAGAAATTTCAGAATTTCAAAAATCTAAAAACTTTTTAAATATCTTGATCAAATTTCAAATTTATTTAAAATTTTCATATTTGTTATTTTTGACTTCAATTATAATTATAAACTTCAATAATTAATTTCAATCTATTCGATTTTTTAATAAAATTTATTAATCCATATAAAATTTAATGTATTCTTCTTTTATGAATTCCAATTTCCAAATTTTGTGTATTTTAAATCAATTTATCCAATTTTTATACTTTTCAAATTATCTCACTTGATTGATGTATGTCTTGAGCAAATGTTTACAAACTATATATGTTTCTTCTTTAAACTTTTTAATCTTTATGAATTCCAAGCTATTCTATTAGCTGTTCAATATCTAAGAGTCCCAAACCAATCTACTCGATTTCTATGTGTCCCAAGGTAATCTATTCTACTTTTACAAATCTCAAACCAATCCACTTCAATTTTATATATCACAAGCCAATCCGATTTCTACAATCACAAAATTGATTTTTTAAACTTTGAAGTTTACATTTATATATATTTTATATTTTTCCATTTTTTTAAAATCTTCATGAATTTTAATATCACATCAGATCTCAGTCATTGCATTATATGAATAAACTAAGATTTATTAAATATCTTCTATAAAATGCTATATTGCATTAATGAATGATTATTTCGAAAGTGAATATTATCAAGTTTCATCAATCTAATAATGATTTCTATTTTTTTAGATTTCATCAAATTTCCTATATATGTAATAACTTTCAATTTTAAATGTGAAATTTATTAATTATTTAAATAATAATTTTTAAATAATGTATATCAAATTTTACAATCCTATTATTCCTTCAAATCTATATACTTGTATGAAAGAGCTTGTTTCTCATATGAGTGCAATATGACATAAGTATATCATGTCGTACGATTTAATAGTGGTCTTTGCCGAATTTCAATGATCCTAGAGAGTTTAATCTTTATTGCGTTCTCCAAGTACTTAATAATCTCTATCGGGAAACACGAGCTCGTGATGATTTGTATTCGACCACTACTGTCATGTGGTCTACATCATACCTTACAAACTCGAGGTTGTCTTTATTGTATCCCTCGCGTTCCGTTTGTCCTGCATTGCGTATCACATGTTTATGATTACCAAGTTCTGGAAGTCTCTTGTCATATACGAGTCTATAGCTATGCTTTACAACTTACTAAAGACAAACATATATATATATATATATATGACATAGAGTAGAGCAACTTCTTTACTCAAATATATGTATTACATTGAATTAATTAAAGTTTCATGTATCCAGCTCCTTTGCCTAAGAAATATTCACTGTTATATTCACGTAGTACCTACTTATATACAACTTCAGAACTGTAAACTGCGCATGCTCAGACAAATAGAACGAAAAAAGATGGATGCGTTGATCAGTTGACTCTTATCAATCTATGATTTCATATAATGTTTCTGATTAAGATGTTTTTATTTAATCTTTCTCATTGACCTATATTTAGTTGTAATAGTGAAAATATCACTTTATAATCATTATCAATTAAAAATGTTTTTTGTATTTTTATATCTTTTATTTTTTTCGGTTAATTTTCTCCAAATTCATTTTTATAAAATAGGTTAACTTAAAATATACTTCTAAAATAATAATTTGTTAAAATTATAATCGATATTTTATATTTTTTAACATTATTTAAAATATAATTAAGAATATTGTTATAAATATTACTTACTAAATTTGATTTTCAATCATTTAATATATATCTCATATACGATATAATTTTGTCAATCAGAACATTTGTATAATTGTTTACGTCGATTGAAATATCCTTGTGAGATTGACATGAAAAAAATCATGTAATCTGCATTATATTAAGTTATTATTTCTCAACTGATAAAGCGGTTAAACGCGCAATTTCAATCGACAATAGTCTATAGAAGTAATTACAGTTTCTATTTTCGTATCTGCCTTTCAACTAATAATTTTCTCTTAATATATACGTGTACCTATATATAATACTTTTTGAATTATACTTGATGTTTTTAGATTACATCATTGTAAGATTTTTTGAATATTATTCTGTTTCTCATGTTTCTCAAAAGAAAATATTCTATAGGTTTACAATGCAAGTCCGATTTTAGTTTCTGGATTCTTTTTCTTAACGATTCAAGATATTAATATCGATAGATATTTCATTTTTGTACAAATGGCGCGTGTTTACTCGACGAATGAATATCAGAATATTAAAGTTTCTTTTATTGGTTTCCTGGGAAATAGCCCGTCAAATGAGAATGTAGGAAATAGTAAATAAAAATATATTTTAAAAAAAAAAAGATGTCTTATTATTATTTTGAAATTGCGACGATAACTATTTCAAAATGTTAAAAATTATAGAAATATTATTAATGTGTACGTGTGTTATAGTGATATTATATTTTCTATTATATTTTAAATTGATAGAAGATGGAATGGTAGAAATTAATATAATTTAATATTTAATTTTATAATCTTGTAATATTATTTATTAGAATATTTTTCTCTTTAAATCATTAAAAGTTAAATATTGGCTGTTGAAATTAATTCCAAATATACATTTATATGTATGTTAAAATTAATATTTTATTTCAGACAGATTATTTATTGGTTGGTTTATATTTGTTGTAATAGGGTCAAGTTCAATGTATACTCGTTGATCTGAAACAGAAATACATACATATTTTGATCGATACATGATGACGAAATATTTAATGCTTTAATCTTGGCATCAACATCTTAAAAATATTATTATTATATATACTATAAATATTATTATAATTAGAAAAAAATATATTTGATTAAAATTTAGAATTTCACTATTTCATTCATTAAAATTTAATTAAAATTAGATTGATTAAAGATTGTAAAATTTTTACAAACAATATATAATATATACTTATACAAATATAAATAATATATAATTATTTCCATTTCAACAAATCCAAGATTCAATCCGAAAAAAATTATAAAAAAATTGTAAAAAATCAAATCGGATTTTTTAATTCTCTTTCAATTATCTTCGAAAGCTTCCAAGTTTTCCTAATTAATAAATTTAATCAGCAGATGATAAAAGTTTTCAATCTATTTTTCAAAAGAGTATTGCCAGATAACAATTTATAAATAATATTATATACAACACAAATATAGAATTTCATTAGATCAGATCAGAAATTCAAATTAGTTTTAACTTTTGATTTTAATTTAATGTTCTTTTTTTTATTAAAATAAGGATTTAATCTTAAAATTTAATAAAGAAAAAAAATGAATGTTCTCAAAAAAGATCTATTAATATCTACGATATAATTCGTTATAAGTATAATTCGTTTTTTTTTATATCCAATCCTTGATTAATATCATCATAATTATGCAATGAAAATTTCAATTAATCATTTATATTCTTATCAATATAATAATATCTTTTAGGTGCAATTTCAGCTCACATGAAGAAAGTGAGGGAGCAGATGGCTGGCATTTTGTCACGTATTCCCGAGCAAGGTGTTGTGAATTGGAACAAGATTCCTGAAGGAGCGAATACTACCTCTACCACCAAGGTTAGTCACGCGTAAATATTACGCTCATTTCCGGTTGCCTCGTTCGGCCAATCAGTTCACTGACTCAAATTCGTTCCTTCGGTTGAAATCTTTTGTCGTTACAATATATATGCATACATATATATGTAGTATTATCTTTGTACAATGATACATTTGAATATAGATATAATACTGTAAGAAGTATTCTATTCATGAGAATGAAAATCTTATGAGATGATTTGTATCTTCAATATTCGATTTACGAAAAAAATCATAAGAAATACAAATGTCTAAGAAAAATATTTTGGAAAATCGAAAATAGAACAATTAGACGAAAAATTATAATTTTTATATTTAATTATTTTAATATTTGTCTAATTTTACATTATTAAAAAAATAATTTTACATTAACGATATACAACAAATATTATATATAAATTGTAAAATATTATAAATTAAAATTAATCAAGATTTAATCGAAATGTTAAATATAACTATAAATCAACAAAACGATTCTATAATCGTCTTTAAATATTTTCTTCAAAAAGATATTTCTACGTTATTAGTTTTAAGCTCAAAATAAAGACAATGTACCACAATAATTCTGCCTTTTACCTCTTGTGAAAGATGAAATAATGAAACAAGATTCTCCAACTTTAGCATTACTCAAATATAATTAATGGTACTACTTAAGAGTTGAAGTACAAGTAACATGTACATGTCCTCCTCTGAATACGTGCAATATACATTGTCGTAATTTACGTAATGAATTGCACAACGAAATCTGCACATCAATGCCGATCTGGTTGCTATATTTCCTGGGATGAACTAACTGCTGTGCCACTTGAACTGATGTGCAGCATTTAGTTTTTAATGTATCATTCCTTGAAAAGTGTGTTTCATCTTAAAATATAATTGTATTATATTCAAGTTAATATAGATACGATTCTACAAAATGAAAAAAATTGATTTAAAAACTGTTGTTCTGAAAATTTTTTTTCAATCTTTTAAAAAGAAATTAAAAATATTTTCTTTACTAAGGATTTTTTGATTATCACTATTTATTTATCATTGTTATTACCTATCATCGCTATTATATCGCTATTTATCACTGTTATTTTTAAATTAAATTAAATATTCTATCATTATATAAATAATGATATAAATATTATATCATTATATTATCTTGTATATTATATTATAAACTAATATCATTGTTTTTTTAGATCATCGATGGACACGTGGTAACCATTAATGAAACGACTTATACCGATGGTAGCGACGATTACAGCACACTGATCCGCGTCCGTGTAATCGACGTGAGACCCCAGAATGAAACAATCTTGACAACGGTAAGCAGCGAAGCGGACAGCGATGTAACCACTTTGCCTACACTTATCGGAAAGAATGATACCAGCACCCAATCTTCAAGGAGTGTAGAAAGCGTCGAAGATTTTGACAACGAGATACCGAAGAATCAAGGAGATGTATTAACTGCTTAAAGCAGTCAAGAAATAATTTAAAAGGCAATGTCAGATTAATTGAATCCGAAAGATCCATTTTTCCTTAATTTTCTATGAAAATCTAATAATTTTTTTTTTTTTTGTATATTATATCATGTGTCTATGTAAAAAATTTTGAAGTTATTACATTTATAGTTATAAAAATATTTCTATAATCCTTTTTCGAATAAAATTTATCCATCTCAAAATTTGTAAAAATAAATTTAATCTTCCTTAAACCTATATGCTATATACTATCCTGATTATATCGTAATGCAATATAAATAGATATAATATAAATATATACTATAGTTGAATCAGATGGAAGTGATATAGTAAATGAATGAAGAGAAAGAAAGAGAGGGAGAGAGAGGGAGAGAGAGAAAGAGAGAGAGAGAGAGAGAAAGTAAAAAACATAAGATTTCCGTCCGCGAAGCTCTTTCGGATTCAAACTGACATTCGTGTACGAAAATTGTAAACTATCGTGAGACAAAAAAAATGTTGATTATCGTAGAGAGTTAATAGAGATATAATATACATATATTTTATGTTCTTTTATAGTTTTATCTGTTATACATTTATAATGATTCGCCTATAATGAAGCCGATTATTCTATGTACCTCAAAGATTAATAGGTGAATTACAGATTTGCATACGATTATTTTATAAAATTATCATATTATATAATAACAAGATTGTATTACAAATTATATTTTATCTATGATTATTCAATGGTAAAATTTTCAAAAGGGAGTGAGAATATCTTTTTTTAAATTTTTGTTTAAATAAAAAAAATATAGTTTGAAATGTTTTTATTTCTCTTAAATTCTTCCTTTCTTTCCTTTTTTTTATCTCAAATCTCTTAGCAAAAATACGTATAGCATATAACAGAAATTTTATATATGTATTTGTAATGATCAATCATGTTTTACATTAATAAAAATTTTTTAAATATTTAAAAAAGCACATGTGTAAGTATCATAATAGCAAATGATTAAAAATATGCAATTTAATATCTAATATTAATATCTAATATTAATACAATTTTGGTGTAGAATGATTCTTTATTTAAATTTTTGAGTGAGAAAAAATAAAAAAAAATTGATCTATTTTTTTATAAATTCTAGAACAATATAATTAAATAAATAATTTAAAACAATCAATTATTATATGAAAACAACTTTTGAATGAAAAAATATTTAACATAAAAAATGAAAATTGATTTATCTTGTAAAATTATAATAAAATTATATATTAAAATAAAAGATCTTATTTAATATTATAATAAAATATAAATTCATATAAAAAATGTATAAAAAATTAAATAATCTTGCATTAATATATTATAATATTAAACTTCATTTATGTAAATAAATACTGTATATACATATACGTAAAAAAAACAAATTTTTATAAATAATTTTGAAAATATTTTGTAATAACAATAAGTAATAAATTATTATTAAAATTTATTATTAATTTTGAAAATTGTGAAAATTATATGAATATACATTAAAGTATTTCATAAAATATTTTTTTCGTGCTTTAAGAATAAATAATGTTTAAATTTAAATTTCATCATGATGTTAAACATAATCCTAGTAATATTTCATTTCAGGGAATGCACAACGTGACATCCGACGTTGTCAGAATATAGGAACAAAAATCACTATATAAATATAACTGTCATGTGGACGTGTCAGTTTCAATCTGTTGATACATTTGCTAAAAAATATTTTAGATAAATGAGTAATACGTATTGCGTTTTTTAAAGTCGTAAAAGTGTAAATTCGTAAAAAAACTAAGAATGCAATGCCAGCACGTAGACGACACGTTGGCTTGGAGCATGGTGTAGACCATGGTTTCGTGATCACAACCTCAAACAGTCCTTGGCAGGGCAATATCATAAGTCAGCAGAGTTCTAATCATGAAAGTGAAGGGTGCGATTTAACACAAAACTCAAAAAAGCAAGCGGACATCGCACCATCGACAATGACGTCCCGCGATAGAACTAATGAATTCATTAATGCCATTCGAATGATGCAAAGCAGAACCGTGGCACGAGCGGTGATTTCGCAAAACCCTCGTCGAGCACGTCAATTGCAAAGTTACTCGAATTTCATGATGATAGCTAAGAGTATTGGAAAGAATATAGCGAGCACTTATACTAAATTAGAAAAACTTGCTCTGTGTAAGATTATTATGATCTAATATTATCACATCTAATCATATTTATCTAATATTATTTCATTTTAATAAATTCTATCATTTACAAGTTTCTATTTCTATTAAATTCATTCATATATTTATACTTTTATTTCTAATAAATAATAATTTTTGATAAAAAGAGATTCATATATTCATATGTGTGATATGTATAAATTATAAGCATGTAAATAACATTTAATAAATTTAATTATATTTATATAAAAAAAGAATATACTTATCAGATCAATTATTTTAGTGGCAAAAAGAAAATCGATATTTAATGATAGACAAGTGGAAATAGAAGAATTAACAAATATCATAAAAACAGATTTAAAAAGTTTAAATCATCAAATAGGAAAGCTGCAAGAACTTAGTAAAAAACAACGAGAAGGATATAGTGCATCTCATAGTCATCACGTAGCTTCACATTCATCTTCAATTGTTATGACATTACAATCAAAATTGGCAAATATGTCAAATCATTTTAAAAGTGTTCTTGAAATGAGATCAGAGGTATGTAAGAAAAAAAAGTTAAAAAAGATTAAAATAATTATATATTATAATTTTCTTTTAAAATGCATAGAATATGAGAGAGGAACAAAGTAGAAGACAACAATTTACTCAAGGTTCTGTATCTACTCTGTTACCTCCAAGTGTTGCTGGAAAACAAGGTTCATTGTTATTGCAAGAAGAAACTTCTCCTTCTTCTGTAGTTATAAATTTGGATTCAGCAATGATGCAAGCAGTTCAGGATGATACTGTAAGTTCTATAGTAAATATAATAATATTATTTAATACTAATTATAATAATATTGCTTATTGTACAATATGTATAATATGTGCACTTTTAATATTTTTAATAAAATAGTTTAAAAATTTACATACATAACACATATAGATTCAATAAACAAAAATTTTAATAAATTTATAAATATGAATGATTATTATACAGAAACGTTATTATATAGCATAAAGAAAAAAAGTTAAAAATTATATTGCATATAAAAATTTCAATTTTAGAAAAGATAGACATAATACATTTTGTATAATAAGCCAAAAATATATATAACAAAAATAAATAAATTTAAAAATAATTCATTAGGATGCATATGTTCAATCAAGAGCAGAAACAATGCAAAGTATAGAATCTACTATTGTTGAACTTGGTGGAATTTTTCAACAATTAGCACATATGGTTAAAGAACAAGAGGAAATGGTGGAAAGGTATAAATATTTTAATTATTTATAAAATTTTTAATTTTTATTAAATGTTGTGCATATATATATATATGTATGTATATTTTATCTTATGCTCAATAATTTTACTAAAAATTTTTCTTTTAATGTTTATTTGTTTTAGATATATAGAAAATATTAATAAATATTTTGCATTTATACAAATACTGATAAAATTTTTATTAATTTTCAGGATAGATTCCAATATAGAAGATACAGAAATAAATGTGGAAGCAGCTCATGCAGAGATCTTAAAATATTTTCAATCTGTAACTAATAACAGGTGGTTAATGATAAAAATATTCGCGGTTCTTATATTTTTCTTTATATTTTTTGTAGTGTTTTTGGCATAAAATAATTATTACATTATTATTATGCATATTTCTTTATGCAAATTTATAGTTGACCATCCATATCCATTAATTGTGATATAAGATGATCGAAGAACAAGACGAATTTTTATAAAATTACGACTCATTAGTTATAGAATAATAATATAATCATTGCATTCCTTGACCTCTTTGTTGAAATGTGAATACTGTAAGTATTACTTATTAAAAGGTCCATCAATGTAGACAAAGGAGCTACATTGTTTGTAAAATGTAAAAAGAAAACTATGAATAATAAATGTATAATTTTCAATGTTTGGTAATTTTTGAAACATGTATATATAAACAATAAGTAGGTTTCTTAAAAAATTATGAAACATAACATAATAATATAAATTACAATTTATTTCAATTTTTTAAAATTTTATATAACAATTATTTAATCTAAATTCATATTACAATTTATTTCCCGTTTGAATGATTTACAAAGACGATAATTTTTTCAATTTGATTAAAGAATTATATATAACTATATAAAGAAATTTTTTTACAATTTTGTCTATTTGTATATTTCAATACATCCCTAAGAAATAATTAAACGTATATACAATTTGCTTCTTTTTTTTTTTAAATATCAGTGATGATTAACAAATATATTTTTTATAATAAACTAATTATATGTTTATCACAATAAATACCATATCAAAATGCATGATTTTATTTCTCATGAAGTAATAAATGCTCGTTCTATTAGCATTAATATGTTCTGCATCACTGTTATTTGTTTATTGAATTTTTTTGTTAATGAATATCTCAATTACTAATGACAAGTTGAACGCACATACGAATTATTTTATAACAAAATAGAAGTTTCAAACTTTGCTGTTATGATGTGACTTGTCTAGTGATTCTCCTGAAGAATGTAAGGAACCTGAGAAAAGTATTAAATTGTGAATAACATATTGTAGTTATTATCATCTTATTTTTTGTTATTATTAATTACAAATATGAAGAAAAAAACGTTAAAAATTATTAATTTTAGAAAATTATTATGTAAAAACAAATAAAAATTTTAAATAGGACGATCTTAATATTGTACGTATATAATAGAGAATATAAAAATATTAAATTCAAATCACAAATATTTTATATAAGTATATTTTATGTAAAATATATTTTAACGATAATATTAATAAATATTAACAATATTATTAAAATAATAAAAAATCGATACAGGATATGTCATACAGATATATGATAAAAATTTAAAAAATTTTGTAATTTAATTTTGTCACTTCATGCATATTCTGTATCGATAGAAATAAAAATTTCTGTATTATTAGCAAAATCAATTTTGAAACATTCAACCTGATATATTGCACTTTATTTGCAATTATTTCCTTCCATAGTACTCCAAAATTGTCTCACTTTAGAGAATCGCTTGCGTCCTTGCATGCACAACAAAAGAAAGAAAAAAGAAAATAATAATGGCAAAAAAATGCAAGAAAATCATTTCAATGAAAAATGAAATCGACCATTAATGGGTGTCAATCAAATCAGTTTCTTGCAGTTGCTTGTCATCTTATACACAAACCTTTGTGATTTCGAACTCGTTCTCGTTGTGTTGGATGGAAGCCAGAATTGCGTGGAGGCGGCAGTGATTCTTCCCCCCATGAATGCGACGTTCCAAGGGGTAGTGGTAATATTGAAGCAGGAGGAGGTGGAGGAGGTGATCTATGATCAAAAGGTGGAAGTATGTGTGGAGACATTGGTGGTGGGGAACCAGCATTATCATACCTATTGGAAGTAGGAGGATGTAAAGGCATAGGTGGAGGTGAAGATAAACGACCACCCAATGGTGGTGGTCGTTGGCTAACTTCGTATGGTGGTACACCGGATGCATTTGGCAATGGAGGTGGTAAATATGGTGGAAATAGTGAATGTAAATAAGAAGGTGGTGGCGGTGGCGGAACACCCGAAGAACCAGAAAACATTATAGGAGAACTGGATGATTCTGCTCCTAGATATAATGGAGGTGACGTTGTCATCTCTCCATTTGCCTCCAGTCCTGTTTAAAAATCATGTTAAAAAAGACAATTTTCTACATTAGAATATTCTACAATATCAGTTTAAAAGATTCACTGATGATAAATGGACCTATAATATATACATATATTATATATATGTATATGTATATATATATTTTTCATCATAATTCAGTGCAAGATTTAAATACAGCATGTCTCAGTCAAGTCTGTTATAAAGCGATATTTCGATAACATAATTACTGAGTTACTAATATTTATACATTATATAATTTAACTTTATATATTCGATAACTAACAAAAACAATTTCTATGTCTATAATTTCTACTAATACTAAATAAAAAATATACAACAATTTAATAACAACTATAAAACATACATTTTTGAATACTTTCATTTTATTTATCAAGGTAAAGTTGAAAAATTACTATCTAAAGTAATTATGAAATGAAGTTTGAATAATAAATATATATCAAAAGAAATATTTTTTCTTTATACTTACGATGCAATTTTACTTCAGGATCTACATCATTTATATTCTTTTCTATTAAAGTAAGACGATTACGTAATTGTCCTGCTTCAACTTTAGATTCTTCTAAACGACGTTCAACTTGACGGGCTACAACCTTACATACACATATATACATTATAAGATTTTATATGAAATATTACATATTAAAAGATTTAATAATTTAACACAATTAAAAATTATTAAAATATTCATACCCATTGTTCATGTGCCTTTGTTTCAAGCAAAGAAATTTGATTTTTATATTCTCTTTCTTGATCTAATATTTCACGTTTCAATACTTCTACTTGTTGTCTAAATGCAATTCAAAAATTTAATGTTACAATAACTATAAAATAATTTTTTGAAAATATTTTAAATAATGAAAACTTACTTATAATTTTGTATTTCATTTTGCATTGTTTGTATTCGTTCTACAGTGGATACAACTTCACCCTGTTGTTGCAACCAAATAGCTTCTTCTCTATAATAATATATTATATATTTTATTAATTAATAAAAAATATTTTTATTTAGTTAATAAAAAAAAATATTTTTTATTAATTGCTTAGATAAATTTTTAATACTTTTGCCGTTGTGCCTCTTTTTCTTCGAAAAAATTTGTCAATACTTCAAGTCGTGTTTCTGCATCTTTCTTTTCTTTTTCTGCTATTTTGCATTGTTCAGTCAAAGTTGCCATTTCTTCTTTAACGACCTTTACATGTTCTATAATTTAAAAGATTATATTTGAATATATTTTTAATCATCTAATTATAAATGATAGTTTGAAATATACCTTCTAATAAATTATGAACTCCTTCAATCTCAGCTAATCGTATTTTTAATTCATTTCTTTCTTCAAACAATGTTTTTGCCTCTGCTTTAATATGTGATACATCATATAACTTGTCTAAATCCAAGTTATTAGAATTCAATCGATTAATAACATCTACGAGATCTTTTATTTCTACTTCTTTACCTTTCAATTCTTTTTCTAAAGTTGCTTTTTCAATAGAAATCTTAGAGAGATAAATAATGTTATAATATATATAAAACATAATATTATATAATAATTTTAAATATATTTAATATTTACTTCTTTGAGTCGCATTTCTAATTGTTGCACCTTATCGATCAACGTTTGTTCGGCATTGTTTTTACTGTTGATTTCCAATTTTAAATTTTCCGTAACTCTAGTAAATTCAACTTCAAATTCTTCATATTTTTTTTTAATAAATGCAAGCTCTGTTGATAAAGATTCGTTCTGTAAAATATTCAGTATTAAAAATTACACATATACAATACAATAAAATATATACAATATATATGAAATATAAATATATATTTCCAATATATTAAAATAATATTTTTAATAAATATACAAACATTACAAAATATCTATAATTACGAACCTCAAGTTTATCGAATTCAAGCTGCGATAAACATGTAGAATATAACATGCAATTAAATATATACATCTCTTTATAAAAAATTATTCAATTTAAATATGCATGCTTACCTCTTGAGTTTTAAGATTTAAAGCATTCGTTAAAGATTCGTTTGCAGCTTGTTGAGCATTCAATCTGGTTTGTAAGTCTTCTACTGATTGAGCTAAAGGATTAACTTCATTATTCGATGAAAGAACTTCTCGCAACATTTTTTCTAATTCTAATCCAGCTTCAGTAGCACTTTCTAGGTCTTTCTCTAACATAGCTACTTGATCTTCTAATTCTGCTTTTGCATTCTATTAAAAAATATTAAATTAAATAATAAATATTAATATTATCATTATTATATATTTATTATTGATAAATATTTAAATAACGTTACAAAATATTAGATATTAAATAAATATAAAATATTACCTGTGAAATTTTTAAATCAGCTCTTAAAGAAATTACCATTTCATCAGATCCAAATGATTCATCTTCCATACGGCTTAACTACAATATATTTTCTTATAATATAAATTCATAAAAAAGAATAATAATATAATATATATTATATTGTATTACCTTTTCTTTTGTTGATTTTAGATTTTCATTCACCATTGTACATTCTGCTTCTGAAATAAGTAAATCTTTTTCAAGTTTGTTGATTCTAGCTATCAGTCGTTTATCACTCCTCATATTCTATAAACATATAAAATTAATAAAATTATATATGCAATTATATATTTTTGTTCTTAATTTCAAATAACTTTTGATTAGTATTATTAATATCAATCATTAAATTATAATTATTATTAAATTATTTTATATTTAATATAAAATATATTATAACAGAAATATTTTTATTGTATTTAATTAATACCTCAATGCAATAGTACCCTAAGGAAAATATAAGTGTTGCAATAGCAGTGACACTTAAATACATTAGTGTTAACCAATGATTGCTTTCAATCTGTATTTCACTTATTATAGCATTTTCTCCATTTTGAGAAGTTTGTTCCTGTAATAATTAACTAAATAATAAGTAAAACATGAAAAATATATAGTTTAGAATTGAAATATTTTATATATATATAATTCATACTTACATGATATGAATAATATTTTTGAACATCTTCTGAAGAACATTCAACATTATCAGCTATACAAACATTAGGAGGTGTAACTAAAAAATATAATGCAAATTAATAAAAATTATTTGTAAGTACAATACAATAATCTAAATAAAATTATTTTTTTATTATAAGACAATAAATGATTTCTGTGTTGTACCTTCTATTTCATGAAAAATATTTTCAGATGTTTTTTTAGTTACAGATAAAATATCCTCATTTTTTAAATCATATTTATTTGAACTTGTTTCTTTTACTAGCATAGTATCTTCAATATCAACTACAATTTTTTTTGAATTAGATTCAATTTTTGATATTGCTTCTTTATGTTCAATATTTTCTGTTTCAATATTCTCAGCAGATGGTATTATTGACATTTTATCTTTTATATTTTGAGTAAAGAATAATGATGATAAATCTTGATCATTATCATATTTATTTAAATTTTCAATACTTGTATTTTCTTCTTCCTTTTTTATATTATTTTGATCTGTATTTGATTGAATGACATTTTCAAAATATTGCATATTTTTTGTATTAATTGTGATATCTTCTAATAATGTATTATTATTTATTTCAATTCCATCAGAATTTTCTATATTTGATATATTTGATTTAATTTCATTAGTTGTAATTATAACATTTTCTGAAGACTGAATATCTTTTGTCTCAATTTCAGGAGAACTTTCTGCATTTTGTACATCTGATTTAATATCACTGATCGTATTTATTGTAACATTTTGTAAAAACTGGATATCTTTAATTTCAAATTCATTAGATTTTTCTATACTTTGTATATTTGATGTAATATCATTAGATGTTGCCATAATACTTTCTGGAGACTGAAGATCTTTTATTTCAATTTTATAAGAATTTTCTATATTTTGTATATCTACCTTAATGTCACTAGTTGCAATTGTATCATCTTGTGAAACTTGAATATTTTTTATTTCTGTATTCTGTACTTCTAATTTAGTTTCATTTATAATATTTTCTAAGGCTTGATTATCTTTTACATCAATTTCATTAGAATTTTTTGCATCTTGTAAATCTGTTTTTATATGATTGGCTGATGATAAAATATCTGGTTCTTTAATTTGATCAGTATTTTCTATATTTTGTATATGTAGTTTGGTATCAATATTTTCAATTACTTCATTGGAATTGATATTATCTTTTTTAATTAATTCAACTATTTCTTCACCTTTAATATTTAATGTTTCTTTAGAAATATCAGATATAGATATTTGTAAATCATTAGTATCATCATTTTTTTTTAATGATTGATCTTTTTCATCAGTAAATAACTCATTTTCATTCTCTGTTGCATATTCTATTTTATCAGAAATTGCACTTATATTTAATGGTGAACTGTGAATTAGATCAGGTAAATCTAATATTTTTTCTGAACTTATCACAAAATCTTTAATATCAACTTCAACAATTTTTTCCTTACTTTCTAATTTATCTTTTGTGCTCATTAATGTTTCATCAATAGCACTTTGTTTATTTGGCACTACTGTTGCTTGTATGATATCTTTTATAAGAGTTGGTTCTATAGAAGGTTCATTATGATTTAAGTGAACTGTAGTTCCATCAATAATCTGATAAGATGGAGTTACACCAATTTCATTCTGTGGCAGTTCTTTTGTGGATTTCAAATCTAAATTGTCAATTTGTTTAGTATCCTTTTTATCAAATACTGATTTATTTTTTCTTTGATTAGGCTGAAGTTTATTATTAGATGAAACATTATTATTAAATAATGGATCAATAGACACTTCATATTGTAAATCCTTATGTAAAACTTTATATTCTTTTATAAATGACTTTGATACATATCCATGTTTGCCATTTATCTAAAATGAATAAAGTTCCTAATAGTATTTATATAAATATTTAATTTTCATAATAAAAATAAAATAAAAAATCATAAAATGAAGAAAAAAATATAATATAATCAATATTTTTATATTATTTTTATCATATAATTTGATTATTTTAGATTATACTTCAATCATAAAAATTCCAATTTTTATTTTTGTTATATAACTTCAAATAATTATATATATAATAAAGATTGAAAAAAATTAATAATAAGTGAAATTAAAAAAATTAAAATTAATAAAATTTACCTCTACACCCCACAAATCTTTTCTCTTGCCTGCTTCTTTACTATAAACTGTGACTTTTTCATTAACATTAAACGATAATAATCCCAATTCATTTGGAATATATTTAATTGTTGTTCTAGCTAATGAAATAGGTTCTACGGAAAATATATCATTAAATAATTCATGTATTAAAAAAACAGATTTTAAAATAGATACATATTGAGAATAAAGTATGGCTTCAATTACCGGAACAATTAGGATCATAGCATAGTCGTTTGTCTGATAAAACTGAGGAACATTGTGATATTGCACTAAATATTATTGCAATAACTAAAAATAATATTTTAATAAACAAATTCATTTTCGTCATAATTTTACTATTGCAGTTCCACATCACTACTAACATATAATGAGACAGCCTTGGACGCACATTTTACCCGTGAAGTAATCTATAATAAGATGGTTCGATGAAAGGAATATTTAATATTGTTCTGAAATGAACATTAACTATACTTCACAGTTTGATTGGCAATCGAATTTAAATAAAATTTTAAAAAATCAATGATTAATCGTTAAAATCTTCAATTTTATACATTTTCACACATATTATTATATTCCAGAACTTTATATATATATAATTTAGGTTATAGAAAATGTAATTAACACACATATGTAAATAAGTGGGTACGTATGCATTAAGAATAAAGAGTGCCAACTGATATAAAATCATACAAATTTTCAACAAACCTATTGTTACGCCCTCTCAGAATGCACATGCGCAATATAAAAAGTCGAATATAATCTCATAGTCTATTTTATATACAAATATAATAGCATATCAGCATAGATAAGTTAAAAAATAGATGTAACAATCAATGTATTTTTTTGATCTCATGAATTAAGCAAAATAATGGGAAAAGGATAGAAATAAATTTCAGTGTCATTGATGATTTGTTAGTATCTAATATAGGTGAAATAAACATAAATAAAGAAAATAAATAATGGAAAAAGAACAAAGATATACTAAAAATTATTTATCAGCACCATCTTTTGAGTGCCAAAGAAAGAATAGATATTAATAATCTCTTAAGTTCTTTTGAAGTTTCTGGCATTAAAAAATGTCGCTGATTCTTAATTCTATTCTATATCATTCTATTTTTTAAGTTTTTGATACAGAGATGGCGTAAACAGTCAATTTTTATTATATCCTACTATAATTTATTCTTAATTTATCTTTATTTTATTTAAGATTTTTATTTATATTTGACTTATAAATAAATCACAAATAAATGAATAAATAAACAAATAAATAAATTAAGGTATATATAAATTAACAAAACAAAGGATTCTACAAAAAAATCTATAAATAAATAAATAAATAAATTGGTAAATAATCGATTAATCGATAAATGAATCAATAAATAAATGAATTAATAAAAGAATGTATAAACAGTCAAATAAATAATTAATAAATTAATAATTAATAAAAATTAATATTGTAAAAATAAATTAATAATCTACTTTCAATATATTTTTAATTAGAGTATTTTTAATTTTTAATTAAAATATATTATACAATACTTTTTCGATTATGCGATTTCGATTATAGAATTGTCTGTCAATCGTCTGTCAGCCAATCAGAAGATCTCTATTTAAACTATGTGCGCGCGGATCAGTCTCCTGGAAAGTCATCGTAACAGAATTCGTATTCTTAACCGATTTCGGCGATTCGATTACGCAGTAAGTAATTCATATTTTGTTATCGAATTTGTAAATTATTATTATTTTCGATTATTTAATAATAAATTTGTTATTGTAATTAGTTATTTTTATGTTTTTTTTGTGTATTTTGACTTTATTAAGATTATCGATATTTCGTGCTTTGTTGAAATTTGAATTCACTTGTTGCTTCATGCTTAATATGACTTTTTTCATATCTTTATTTTACTATTTTGATTTTCATTTAAATAAATTGTTATTCGATTATCGGCAACAAGTCGGGATAATCATCATTTCAGAGAAAAAATGATTTATATCATTGTGCTATCGATATTCATGATAATTAAAAATTCTATTCTTTTTTGAGGTGTGTAATTTATTTGCTGCGTAGTACATATATATTTCTTTTCATAGTTATATATTTATCATTATTATTATTCAATCAATACGTATTTATTATTATAATTAACGTATTTATTATTATAATTAACAATCTTTCAAAAGAATTATTCGTTTTTTTTTTTATTCATTTATTTCATAGTTATAATTTCAACTAATTCATATCATCTAAAATAAAATTTGAGCTTAATTATTGAATTATATATTTTATTTTAATGTGATCGATTAATTTTATATATCTTATGTATTTATTTGAAAATTTTTATATTCTTTTATACAGATTATTATTCAGTTATTACTGATTCAATTTCAAATTCCAATATGGATGCCAACGTACTTTTTTAAACGGACATTTGATGTTTCGCTTGTGTACTGTATGTATTTATTTTATTTTTATTCGCTCGTTTTTATTTTATTATTCCAAAACATTTGTACTTTTGTAATGAACATTTATCACAAATTTCTATTTAAATAATTTGAAAATATTTATTTTATCTTTCTTATTATTAATCATAAAAAATTTACAACAATTCGTAGCTTTAAAAAAATAATAATATTTTCTGAAGCAAATGTTCAATAGGAAAAGAGAAGAAAAATAAGGAAAAATTATTTTGCTTTTTTTATTATTAATCTTCCCACTATTAATTTAGTTCCAGAAAATTTTGATGATCGCGTGCAATGCGGTCTGTAAATTCAGTGTTTGCTTCGTAACAGTTTTTTTTAATATTTTAGAGCACACTAGCTCTTAATTAAATTTATTTATTATATTCGCGAAATTAAAGTCAGTGTTTGTTCACCGATTAAATTAAAGATATTAGTTTATTTTTTTTTTTTTTTTCTTTATTCATTTTCGGAATAGGATAAAGTCAGTGCTTCTTCAAGAGAGTAAAGCGATCATCCACCACGCGAAGAGGTAATTATTTTTATTTATCTCTTATTTATTTCAATTTTTTTAAATAAGTTACTGTATTTAAATTATAATGTTCCATATTTTGTTACAGTTTTCCTTGGTGACTTTGATGGTGATATCTTATGATTCTTGTAGATTCTTCGCATCTATTGGTGAGTCGCATGCATTTATATTCCTCTGGTCATTCAATCATGTCGTAGGATGAAAGATCCGAATCGACACGGATGACTGGTTGTATACGTAGATTTTTGTATGAGCACAGTAACCGCAGGTACTTATTACCTGTGAGTAGTAATGTTTTTTTTGTGTGTTTTATTTATTAGATCAGGATAGATCTTCTTGTATGTTTTTAAAAAGATAATGTTGATAATTATTAATAATTTTTTATATATATCTAGTTATTAGTTTGAATTCAGTTATTATTTTAATTATAATATTTAATTATTTAATATTTTGAAATAAACTTAAATAATGAAGTGTAAATATTTTATTTTTTCCATAAAAAAATATATGAAATATTATATGCAAGAAGATAATTCGCGACAGGTAGATTTTTGAATCAAAGCAAAAAGTTTTGAACATTGTTTTTGTATTTTTAAAAATGTGCTTTGATAAAGAGATCGCCTGAGATTATTTTCAGTAATACTCCATTTAAAGTCAATTATTTCTTATTATTAATTATCATATATAAATTTAATTATTAATTGTTATAAATAAATTTCTTATTTATTGTCTATATATTTTTCCTTTTGAAATTAATAGAAGTTCATTGAATTTATAAAATAAATTTATTAAAGTTTAAAATAAAATAAACAGATTTTGAATTAGAAAACATTAATCCGTTAGAAAAAAAAATACTCTAATCATCTTTTTAGCTCAGGATTTTCAGATTTAACCCTTTCCGTGTCCATTACCAGGATCTCATTCACATGCCCAGGTGTTATTTGGATGAGAGAGAGGCAATAGGCATGATGACTATAGTTCATAAGTTTATAATAATTTTTCAGCGACTGACGATGCGTTAGTGTATCGTGCACGGCGTATTTTCCACATTGTGTGTGAGGTTAGGCTGTGGAATTGCGCCGCCTATTTTTTATTATATTATAGTATAATTTGAAATATTTAAAATATTCGATTAATCTCATTAAAATTTTCAATAACAATTTAATGATATCAAATTTTGTATCACTTTAGTAATTTAAAAAGCATAAACTTTCATTAATAAATATTCAAATTAATTAAAATTAAGATGTGTTTTTATTGTGTTTCACGCAATGGTCGCTAGCCATCGTCAGTTGATTTCAGGAAAACGGTACGTAAAGTTAGAGTGTGCAAGTAGTGTGCCAAGCTCGGGTGTCGGAGGCGTCCCGGGACGCTTTCCCTAGTGTAGGCTTTTGCGCCCGAGTGTTATGTGTGAGAAAATCGTGGAATGAATGTGTTGGTATGCCTGTTTTGTCATTTTTTTAAATATAGGGCTAGGTAGGATAGGTAGTATACTTCTGTGTGCTTGTTAATTATAAGTAGGTAGGGCCGGGCAGATTGTCACAATCTCTAATCGGGTAGGCGCGTTTTCGTGTGACAATTTGTTTCAGGAAATATAATTTGAAAAATCGAGAATAAAGCTAGAACGAGTGAAGTCACTTATATTTGGCTTTGTTCATCAATTTTTCGAATTTCGCGTTCGCGGTCGCGAAATAAATTTCGAAACGAACGTTATGCTCGAGATTCTGCGCATGCGCGGACAATAGTCATTGCGCATGTGCATTCAGCTTCCGTGATATAGTTTTTTATTTTTTCTTTTTTTTTTGTGTATCTACGATATAGGAAATCTCGAGCCTAGATTTAAGTTTCAGCGGGCATTGCGCCCGAAGGAGGAAGACCGAAGAGGCCCGACAAACTGTCATGAAGAGGGCTGCAACGAATGGCTTCTCATTTTTTGGATTTTATTTGGGTCTAAAGAATGGGAAGTCATTGTTACTACTTTGTTACTGTGCTCATTTTAGAAATATGTAGTAATTGTTGTGTTGTTTGACCGATTGCATGCCGGTCCATTATCTAGATCTAATCATGGGCATCGCGATTTTTTATTAGAGTTGCGATTGATTAATAACGGGTTGAATAGAGTTATTTGTTATTTTTACGATTCTTTATTAGTGTTGCGAATTATAAGATATCACGATTTTTCTGTTAAAAATTTTTATAATTTCTTACAAAATTATTAATTAAAATTTATATCATTTGTTATTAAATTCATTACTTTTAATTAATAGTGATTTTCTAGTCATATGAAAATAATAATTTCTATCGAATTTTTAAAGTTTTAAAATGTAGTGTTGCATTGATAAACAATCGCGTTTGTTCAAGCAATATTGCAAATATTGAATATGCCCAAATTTTTTCCATTGAGATTATGGAAGTACTCAATACTCTTGAATCACTTTAAATGGTTAAAAAAACTGCAAAGATAATTTTACGATAATAGTCATTAAAAAGATTGAATTTCATTATTACGTTATTTAAATTTGAGTGCGTAGAATGTTATAATTGTTTCCGGAAATTTTCCAATTTTCTTTTTTTTTTTTTGTCACTCATAAACTAATCAATATCGTAAATATAATAAAGCACT